TCTACATTTAAAATAATCAATAAATGGTTTTCTAAATTTATATGGCAGAACAAAAGACCTAGAATTAAATATAAAAGAATTTTATGCCTAAAGGAAAATAGGGGTCTAGATTTACCTAATCTGAAAAAAAATATTATTGGGTGGCCCAGCTTAGATCAATGGTTGCCTGGATGTCCCAAGGTAAAGATGCCATATGGGTGGAGATAGGGCAATCACTCTGTTCTAATATGCCCTTAGATACAATCCCATTTATGAATCAAGATACTTCGAGAGTAAATAAAATTAGCAATCAATGGGTAAAAAATACTTTCAAAGATATGGTCAAATATGAGAAAAAAAACTTAGACTCCCCAAGTCAATATCTAGAACGATGAAGATTGCACATAACAGTGACTTTCTTCCATCAACTAGAAACAGGGTTTAAAAAATGGGAAGAAAAAGGTTTAATCATGTATTATTAGTTATTGGAGGGAGGAAAGCTGATGTCCTTTGAGCAGCTTCAACATAAATACAACCTTCCAGCCCATGACTTATTTAGATACCTGCAGCTGAGGCATTACTTAAAGATACATAAAGAATGGAACAATTTATGTAATGCTCCATCCAATACAGAACACTTTTTTATGTTAACAATTAAAGGGATTATTAAAAAGAAGACCATATCAAACATATATAAGATATTACAAATAGAATTAGTAAACAATAGTTTGAAAATTAAAGAAAAATGAATTTAAGATGAATGCCATAAATTCTGATAAAAACTGGGAATTATTATGCAGAGAGGGATTTAAAATAATTAACAGCACAATTCGGAAGGAATATGAATGGAAAGTTAAGATGAGATTTTTCAGGACTCCTCTTGTCACATCAAAATTCAGTGGCACCTCTGATCGGTGCTGTGGCCTGGTAGGAGACCATACACACATAATTTGGACTGTCCAAAGTTATCAGAATACTGACAAAACATACAAAATGAAATTTAAAAATGCCTAGATTTGCCCTTAGAACCATCCGAATTTTCTATTTGGAATATTACCAGAAAATATAAGAAATAATAATCAGACATCATTACTGAGAGTCCTTCTTCCGATTGCTAAGATGATTACGGTTTCCTGGCTGAGGCTGCAGCCCCCCACGGTAACGCAATGGAAGGAAAGGGTTAAGAATGTTTATTATATGGAAAGTATAACTGCAAGATTACAACTGAGATCAGGCATATTCTTGACTAAATGGTCCTCAGTGATTACATATTTGTTTTTAATGGATGTCATCTAAGTGAAACAATTCATTATGTATGTGTATGTATCTGTATGCACATAAAAAAGAAATAAAAAGTTAAAAAAAACAGTAGAAGTAAGAATGGTGTGAAGAGATGAACAGAAATCATGTGGAAATGGTAAGATGAGAGATTACTAGTAGTTTGAAAAGTACTATACGACACACTACTGAAACGTACAAAGCATTCGGAAAGTCGTCAGACCTTTTCACTTTTTCACATTTTATTTTGTGGCCTTGTGCTAAAATAGAAAAATAAAGTTTTTCCCCATTATTGTGAAAACAGAATATTAGAATTTTTTGCCAATTTATTAAAAAGGAAAAACAAAAATTTTGCATATACATAAATATTCAGACCCTTTGCTATGACACTTGAAGCTCTTGGGGCCTCTAATTTCTCTTGATTATCTTTGAGATGTTTCTACACCTTGACTGGAGTCCACCTGTGGTAAGTTCAGTTGATCAGATATGATTTGGAAAGACCCACACCTGTCTATATAAGGTCTCCCAGCTGACAATGCATTTCAGAGCAAAAACCAAGCCATGAGGAGGAAAGAGCTGTAGAGCTCAGAAACAGGACTGCGTGGAGGTTCTGATCTGGCTACAAAACATTCTGCTGCCCAAGAGCACAATGGACAGTGGCCTCCATAATTCTTACATGGTAGAAGTTTGAAACAACCAGGACTCTTCTTAGACCTGGCTGCTCCACCAAACTAAGTAATCGGGGAGAAGGGCCTTGGTAAGAAAGGTGACCAAGCACCTAAAGGACTCTCAGACGGTGAGAAAAAGACTCTCTGGTCTGATGATACCAAGATTGAACTTTTTGGTCTCAATTTTAAGCGTCATGTCTGGAGGAAACCAGGCCCCGCTCATCCACTGCCGAATACCATCTCTACAGGAAAGCATGGTGGTGGCAGCATAATACTGTGTTGTTTTTCAGCAGCTGGGACAGGGTGACTGGTCAGGGTTTCAACTAAGTACTGAGTATAGGGTTTGAATACTTATGTCAATGCAAAATTTTAGTTTTTCCTATTCAAAAAATTGCAAAAATTAAAACTTCTGTTTATTTTAACACAAGGCTGCAACATAAAGGGTGAAAAAAGTGAAAGGGTCTGAAGACTTTCCAAATGCACTGCACATACTACGTTACATTGCGAGTAACTGTTCATTGAAAATCTGCGATGGACTGGCGACCTGTCCAGGGTGTATCCTGCCTTCCGCCCAATGACAGCTGGGATAGGCTCCAGCACCCCACCGCGACCCTGAAGGATAAGCGGTTTAGATGATGGATGGATGGATGGATGGATGTATGTATGTATGTATGTATGTATGTATGTATGTATGTCCATTGAAAATATTGCCAATATCTTAAAATTCTTTATTAACCATGTATGGATATTGTATTATTATGGCTGCTGTTTTATAAATGCAATAGAATGCTTTGGGTCGTGTGTTATCAAAAATAACAGCATGGCTGTGATTTGTTCATAGGCATGAGTCGAAAGATGTCTAACACACTCCTTCAACTGATACAGACAAAAGAATCTCAATGAAATGCGTTCCTAAAAGGCCAAAAAACATTGTTTTTAAATGTGCCTAAAGCGCAAAAAAGTCACTGAAACATGTTTTTGCCTTTTGAGTAATGTCTTTTCAAACAAAATTGTCGATAAATTCATTACAAAGTACATTTTTTTCTGTATTAGCCAAGGAGTGTGTACAATGTGCGTGATTTGTATTTTACCATTGAGTAGAATTCTATGTGGATGAGAGGAGGCTCATTTTATTCAGTAAATGTTATAAGCAAGAGATATAAAACCATCTGAGGTGCCTGGAAGTCACACAAAAAGTATTTAGAATAGTTCAAATGTGAAATAAGGTGAACCTACCATAGTTAAAAATTAGAAATGACTTCACAAACTGGTGTCCTAATTTTTCTACACATATAGTATAGTATAGTATAGTATAGTATAGTATAATATATATAATATCTACCTCCAAGCTTTACCATATTTACTTAGGTATGTATTTTAAAATAAACCTGTTATAATTACACCAGCGTTCTCAATCTGTGACAGACTTTTTTAACAGAGTATTTTTGTACACATGGATTATTACTAAGTCAAAGTAGCTCAGCAGTCCCTGCTTTGATACGGGAGTTCAGTTGATGGGAGTTTAACCACACAGATTATGCCACATATTTTTATTTCTGTTTTGTCTTTGAAAGTGAGTAGAACATCCTTCAGTGTCTCAGGTTATCTGGTAGTATTAAAGGGATCTTATCACCATATCTGAAGTTTAGTGTTTAAATTTGGTGTCTGAACTGAAGACTTGACTGAGTGAATGGTAAAAAAAAATAATAATAATAATAAAAAAACAGTTGCTAAGTAGTGACTGAAAGGCCAAGAAAATGAGATGCTTGAGAGCAGCCTGCCAAAGACATGGGCAGTTAAATATATAGAAATCATGAATGATATCATTTTAGCACTGTTCTTGTGATCAATTATTAGCCAGCAAGGGAAAGAGAGACAAGTGCTCCACCCACACAAGACAGCATACTAGCACATTAACAATCCAGAGGTTGTTAGAGGAACTGCTCGTGGCTGTGGGTCCCTATAAATGCTTATGCTGCTTACTAGGTTGTGATATGTATGCTTATGCTTTAAGATTTCATATTTTGTGTCCGTAATTTCACTTCCTGGAAAACTCCAAAGGACAGCTGACAGAACTGAATCATGTGTGAATCAATCATGAATCACATTTCTGAAGTACACCCACAACACAATGTGTGTGTGCAGTGATTTTGTCATCTTTAATTTACTATTCAAATTTACTGATTTAAAGCTTTTTAAAATGGGCATAGTCACAAAGCAGTATTACATGAATCTTCCCTGACTGAGCAAGCCAAACTTCTGCAGTGCTAAAGGAAAAAACCTTGAAAGAAAGACTTCAAAGTGGAACCTACCCTCCTCAGGTTTACACAAGATAGCAAAACAATACCACATCAAGGGTAATAATATGATGAGAAAACAATGAAAATGATTAGTGTTAGAGGTCTAAAATGTCATCTAAAAGAATGAGAATGAAATATGGTGACTGCTCTGAGGTCCTGTTAGAATGAAGCTCAGAATAGTGTGAGGCAGCCATAAAATATCTAGGATGGAATAATTTTAGATAGGGTTGATGCAGAACTTCTACATTTTATGCTTGCTATACTATATAAATACATTAATCACTGTGTTAAAAAATGTCTTAAATAAATAAATAAATAAAAAAATAAATCTAATTTTGACATTTTTTACCCTTATTTAAAATATGGTCAATTAGCCAAGATTTTTATTTATTTATTTTATTTTTTACTTTTGCTTTGGAGCTATGAGACAAAAATAGCTACAATAAAAAGTAATGGAAGTTAAGTGACCCTTATTGGTCCCACAATGGGGAAATTTCACCTCCGCATTTAACCCATCTGTGCAATGAAACACCACATACACACTAGTGAAGACAAACACTACAGGGCAGTGAGCACACTTGCCCGGAGAGGTGGGCAGCCCTATCTGCAGTGCCCAGGGAGCAGTTGGGGGTTGGGTGCCTTGCTCAAGGGCATCTCAGTCATTTACTGTTGGCTCAGGGGATAGAGCCGGTCACAAGGCTGGTTCCCTAACCTCCAGCCCATGACTCGCCCAATAGCATTGTAACTCCATTGCAAACTAATTCATCTTTTGCAGACTAGCTGGTTGTAATCTCACCAAGGACTCTTGTGAAATACTCTGCTCTGCTCTACAATCAGTAAACTCCTTCCTGAAGGAGTTGGACCTCAGTAACAATGATCTGAATGATTCAGGATTGAAGCTGCTCTCTGCTGGACTGAAGAGTTTGCAGTGTAAACTAGAAATACTCAGGTGAACTTTTAATTTAAGTAAAGTTAAATTTTGATATTCAATCATATTCAGAGTTAAATATTGTTTATTAAAAGCTGGTTGATCTCAGGCCAGAGACTGCTTTGTCTCCTCAGGAAGCATTAAAAACTATTGAGCCTTTTTAAAAAGATTGGAGGCACTGAGGGTTCATGGAAGATATTCAGTGATGTAATATGCATCAAAATATGCCTTAATCAGCACTAATATTGATCCCCTATAATATGACTCAATCAGCTTTGATTGAATTATAAAGTCATTAAAATATGCCTTAATTGGCTCTGAAATTGACCCAAAAAGTAACTGCTACCTGTCTATTTTCTTTTTTGCAGATTGTCTGGTTGTATGGTCACAGATTATGGCTGTTCTTCTCTGGCTTCTGCTCTGAAATCAAACCCTTCTCACCTAAGAGAACTGGATCTGACCTATAATCACCCAAAAGAATCTGGAATGAAGCTGCTCTCTGATCTTCTGAAAGATCCACACTGCACACTGGAGAAACTACAGTGAGTTACAATTAATTAACAGATGTTTAATAACAGTATAACACATAACAGGCAGTCTGCATGATAGTCTAATAATAATAATAATAATAATAATAATAATAATAATAATAATAATGAAATATCATTACTTTTATCTGGACTGTAAGATCTGAAGACTAATTTATTCTGTAAGTTCAGTTCAGTTAATTCTTTTGACCTAGTTGGTAATTGTGGAGATTAGAGGGATGCAATGATGGGCAGGTAAACATGATTCAGTTTTTTCCTGGGTTCACACTGCAGAAGGTGTAGAGTTGGAAGCTGCAGAGAGAAGTTGGCTGGCTGGGTAGAATAAATTACATTAAATAGTTTACCACAACACTACTGAGTGCTCCCCCATGGAGTTAGCCAGTTGTGGCAGTGGGCAAAGGAGGGCAACCAGTAAGGAGAAATGACAGCAAGCCTGGCAGTGTTAGCAATTGGACTGTGCACTTTAGTGAGACAGGCTTATCTCTGCTGCTGCAGCATGACTTAATGCTCACTTAATGATCAATGGGGAGCCTACAGCACCAAGCACAACAGTGCCAGTTAGAATTAGAATTAGAAGGGACTCATCGAACCGCTCCGTGTTCAAAGAGGTTTTGAATGAAATGGCCGAACGCGGCCAGAGGAGACTGAGGCTGCAGCGTCAGAGAGCAGTTTAAAGAATCCAAGGACACGAACCAAAGAAGTGGCCGCGCCCTTTTTACGGCGAACTCTAACACATTGTGGGTGATGAGTCCAGCTGTCAACCCCTGGAACTTTATACTCGCTCTTCTGATGCTGGCGAAGATGAAACTGAAAGCTTCGGGAGCGACTGACGTTCACTGGCCATCATGACTGTTTACCTCTGGACAAGCCACGTGAAGCTCTGTTCTTTTGCGCATGCGGGTTAGTTTAGGAGATGATCTGTTCAGACTGATGTCGCATACAGATCACGTAATGTGAACAGCAAAACAAAAAAATTGGATTTGGTGAGAAAATCAGATTTGGGCCACTTTTACCTGCTGTGTAAACGTAGCCTATCAGAACAGAAAGTAAGAGTAACACAGAGAGAGAGATAGAGAAAGAGAGAGTCTTATATTCATGTTCAGTTTTTATATTTTGGCTATGTTTACACAGCAGGTAAAAGTGGCCCAAATCTGATCTTTTTCCTCATATGTGACACAGATGTGTGTCTGTGTGTCAGTATGAACAGCAAAAAACGCATTGAATCTGATATTTTCAATTCCAATTTGAGACGCTTTCATATGTGGTATGTGGAATTCTGATCCGTATCCGATCAGTCCAGCTCGACATTCGTCATAATTTTGTGCTGTTGAGACTCAAACATTTAGGCTGATGTTTCTGTACCAAAACATTAGAAGAGGCCAAATAAAGTGCCCTTTTTAACAGCGAATTGAACACATTCTGGGTGATGAGCCCAGCTGTCAACCACTGGAACTTTATAATCACTTATGTGATGCTGGCGAAGATGAAACTGAAAACTCAGGGAGTGACAGGCGAGTCTGTAATGCTTGGACAGAAAACCAGACGTGTGCGGATGTTGAGCGAAGGAGGTTTAATATACACTAAGTGGCCATAGTCAAAAAAGGGAAAAACGGAGCTTGTAGTCACAAACAGTCCAAAAGTCAAAACACAGATCATACACACCAATGAAAATACCAAAGGAATAGGCAAGAGGCAAAAACAAAATCAAACAAAGCAGAAGGTCAAAAAACACATGTTGACTAGAACAGTTGTATGTTTCATCTATGCAAAGTACAAGGGGTCATTCTGTTAGTAACAAACCTGGGCATGGTTGGAAGTGCAAGTAATCACAGACTTTTCTCAGAAATATCAACAAGAACACTTGAATCTCTGCCAAGATGACCATTGCTGAACTGGCCTGTTCTGGACTTGAAGAAAGACTGTTGTGAGGGCATCTCATTGAGGTGGGCTTTGAGGTCATCACCCAACTCCATTGCTTACACAGCAGCACATCAAAGCAAGACTGAAGTTTTCTTCTGACCATTTAATACATGAGGATGAGATTTGAAGGTCTGTCCTTTGGTCTCATGAGACTAAACTGGAGCTGTTCTTGTGATTTGGATGAGCTTGAACAATTTGCCATGGAGGAATGGGCTAACATCTCCCTCAAGAGACATGTGCTAACCTAGTAAGGAACTACAGTAAAAGGTTGCTGTTAGTTGTGACTTAAAAAGGTTACACTATTGACTATTACTTGTCAGAGTGCTGATAATTTTGGCCTAGTCATTTTTGCATTTCTTGTTTCAACTTGGTGCATTTAATTTCATGTTTCCAAGTTTTAAGTTTATTTGCACAACATTCATTCATGACATTCATGCATTGAAATGCCTGTGGTAAGGCTCAGATAATCACTCTACAGAAAGTAAACAAAGTAAATATACAAAGGAAAATACTAAAACTGAAATATATTAAATATACACAAAATTTACACAAAATATAGAGACTGGAGGGACCTATGTAAGAAAAACTCTCTGCTATGTACAAATATATTAAACAAGGCATAATCTGATCTGAGAAGAATATATATATATACATTTTAAAGTGACTTAGTATTATTGTCATAGAAGTAACATGATACAATAAATAATACCAACAAAGTGACTGAGTGAAATGATAGTTGGTGAAGGACCCACAGCTTGTTCAGAAGCCTGACAGCCTGTGGGTAGAAACTGTTCATTAACCGGGTTGTCCTAGCCTGTATACTGCGGAATTTCCTGCCTGATGGCAGGATGGTGAGCAGGCTGTGTGCTGGGTGGCGCTGTCTGACCAGATCTTTTGGATCTTCCTCAGGCAGCGGGACTGAGTTTGTTGCCTATGATGGATTCTGCTGTCCTCACCACTCCCTTCAGTAAAATATCTTCATTATACTTTGTGGACATTTTGTCTTTGTTCTTTCATAAGTAATTATACTATAATCACTCTGGGTACTGCTCTTTTCTTGCAAAAACTAAGGGGTTTTTTTTTTTTATTTAATAAGGGGGCTAAATAATCTTGACTTTAACTGTAAGCAGCCAAGAGAGTGGAGTGCAAATAGAGTGGTATATCAGTTAAAAAAGAAAGCAATAAATAAAATAAATCCCCCAAAATATTATTTAATACATTAACAGATATTTTGTCTTAAGCAAGTGACTCATACTTCATACAAATAATGTTTACTTAATAATTGAACTTTATAGGAAAAACACTAACACTTTATAGATTAAAAAGACTCCATACACTACGTGTCCTAGTACTCTCTGATGTCTCAGTTATGCTGTTCTCATCAGAACTGAACTGGAGAAATAATATATAATTATATTGATAATTTTAAAGCCGCAGTATTTAATATAAACCTATTATATCCATTGCTCCATTCAAATGACGGAAGCAGCGTGTGTAAAATACACATGGCAGCAGATGAAGGTGAAATGTAAAGAGAACTCCAGAATGGTACAGTGTAAATCTAGAAAAACATTTTGTACTGAATTTGAATAGATACATATAGAAATCAAATGGAGATTACGTTACATATTACATCTAACCAAAAGGAAGGCTCCCGTTACTGCTTCTAGAGGGGTTGGGGGGGTGACTCCTATAATGGACTTAATTCCAGAAAAGGAGCAGCACTGGATCAGAAATGGAGGTGCCCCATCATTTGAGTAACACCATACAGACAGAGAGATCAATCTCCCCTGTGAAGTACTGATTTGTAAAAAACTAAAGGGGGTGGGGGAATGTCCTGACTCTCCAAATCCTCTAATCAGTATTTGTGAATGTTGAAATTGTAACAGTTGTAACAGTGATGATGTTCTCTAAAGAGCCTGTAATATTCAGCAGTATTAATTATCCTTTTATAATGTGGGAGCATCCAGGATCAGCAAGAGCAAGCATATGTTCACACAACAAAATATCTGCTTCTTAAAATATAATTTAAAATTTGAAAGTTAGAGCCGGATAGATTAAAAAACTGAGAAAAACATATGTGTAAAATGAAGTGATTTTGAATATGCTCATTTTACATAAAATTCACTTGAGGATCTATTGCTGCCGCAGGCTGATTAAGATCACTAAAAACATTTTCTAAATGAAAGGCTTTAATAAAAATGCAATTGTTTAAAAAACCTGTACACATTAATTCAAAGGAGTGAATGAAAGTCCCTCACAGCTCCACCATCCATGTGATTTTTAAAAGATATTCCCACTGTTCAGCCTATAGCATTATCATCCACACTGTGTATAAATGCACAGGCTGAGTCACTGACTGTCTGTGGGGTTATTTAAGAGACACTGCAGGTGGTTAAATCTGGACTTCATATCATAAAATGCAGGTTCTCAGCAGGGTGTATGCAGAAAAACATTGCTAACTCCTCACAGCAGGCCAGAAAGTACAAACAGTAAGCATTACAGTTACATTTATACAGGCAACTACAGTAAGTAATATTTTGGGAATCTGTAAGATCTCCTAAATAAACCTCTGATTTAAATCACTCTTATGCAGATAAAGACTTACTTATATCTTCACGAGTTTACTTGTTCATATCAAGAACTAATGAGAACTTTCTCATTTTAAAATAAAACCCATACTTCTGTATATATGGCTTTTTAAATCATATGATATACTTTAATTGTAAACATACTCCTAATGTAGATATATTGCTAATGTCAAATCCTAATAGGTCACACAGTATATTCATTATAAAATATTAAATATAGTATGCTCTGTTCTATAGTATAGTTCAGTGTATTGGACAGTATTGAGGCAGCTTGTCCAATAGAATTGATCAAGCTATGCTAAGCCTCAACTTTATCCTGGTATGGAGCAAGTTTGCCCAAAAGCATATATTGTTGTGTTGAGAGGGGCTTAAGATTAGCTTCTTTCATGAAACCAAAAATGATAATTTGTGGGCTTGTTGAAAAAGCCTGGCTTATTGATTTAGCTTGCTTCGTGGAACATCCCCTTGTTCAATGTCTGGTTG